CGGGGCGTGACCATATATAGGGTTTAGGGTTTAGGGATATATAATAGTTTCCATTATCTTTTCCATTATTCCCATATAACCCCCAAAAACTATAGTATAGTAGTTTCCATTTTCTTGTCCATTACCCCCCATATAACCCCTATATACTATAGTAGTTTCCATTTCCTTTTCCATTGTCCCGAGTGGGATCTTTACTTGCACTGGAGCTCAAGGCGGGTGTCCTTTTGGATTCACCGTGGAAGATCAGAGCCACCAATACAACATCACCAACTCGATGCCTTCAGCAAGATCTGAGCCACCCCCAAATTAATGGTGCCTATTTACTGCTGGCAGTTTTCGGGCTCGAGGGATTGTGTGTGTGTGTATATGTATATATATATATGTGGCATATTCCTCATTATAGAGGGGACCCCAGATTTCCTAGATCCGCGTATTTGGTGGGGTGATGTGTGATTTTAGGTTGCAGCTGATGCCTACGGCTTTTTTTTCGCGCAATCGTTAAGCTCAGTAGCTGGGAAGGACGATGGGTCATCGCTGGGAAGGGGCGGTGTGCATGGCGAAAAACCCTGTCACTTCTGAGAAGCAGCGGTGGCCTGCTACTACCCGTGCTAAGTATTCCTCATCTTCAGAAGGCTTCGACTTCTGCTACTGCTGCTGTCGCTATTGCTGCTACGACTACTAACTACTACCACCATTACTCCTCCTACTTATACGCACTCGGCGACACTGGCACCTGTACACGCAGTCATAGCAAAAGGGCGTCCGATATGGTATTTACGGTGGTCAGCGTTTCAGGAGAAGGGCATAGCCGCCGCCCACCACTGCCACCGCCACCCACCACCGCCGCCGGCGCCGCCTCCGCCCCCAACCCCGCCCCCCTTTGCCAACCCACCGCCGCCGCCGCCACCGCCGCCGCCACCGCCACCACCGCCGCCACCGCCACCGCCACCGCCACCGTCGCCGCCGCTACTCACCAAGACCAGCACTACCAAGACCACCACCACCACCACCACCACCACCACCACCACCACCACCACCACCACCACCACCACCAAGACCACCGCAAGACCTCTACGTTGACCGCCAATGTCGCAACATGTTGGGTACTCCAAAGGCAGCTCAAACCGAGTTGGCAGAGGCGAGCCTGATGATGAAGGATCAGGCTTGGGGAGCTGCACAGACCCCAAAAGATCCGTCAAAAGCCCAACTACAACTGTAAGTATAAGCTAATCATGGACCTCATAAGTCCCCCACGATGCTTATAGTTGGACCAGATGTAAATAATAGCGTCCATGTAGGTTTTGTTTCTACTTTTGGGGCTCTATAGAGGGCACTTGTGGGGCTGCTTTGGAGTAGAAGGCTTAGGCGGATTAGGGTTTGAACTTTGGTCCTTCTGCTTGAAGACTTGGATTTTGTACGGTTTAGCGCATCCAGCAGTTTTTAGTTAAACTAACTAAAATTTGGTTCAGGGTTTGGGATGTGGCGTCCCTCCTGTAGTCAAGACATGTTATTATGTGGGAAGGCCAATTAACCCAAAAACCCTTCCTTACCCCAACCTGTCATGTACATAAGCGGTTTATGGATGCGGAAATAGGTGCTGATTTTTTATGTGCATTAGTTAGGTCCAGTTCAACTTCATGAGTCCTCTTGTGATGAGTGCGTGCCGTAACTACTAGGGTTTAGGGTTCCAACTCCTTGGTACAGTGCTTGGCGCACTTCGTAAGTGCGGCATGCTGATCAACAAAAAGCTATGTGTGCTCACACCAGCTTTACCCTGAATCAAACACCAGCCTGTAGAATAGTCCATTGTTATTATTCGCCCTCCAGCACATTCGGATTGTTTGAGCATGCTCGCATCTGTAGTTTGGACCCAGCCAACACCATCCCAAGTTCTTGCAGGAATCTCCAATTAGATGGTGAGGAAACCGGCTTCAGAAAAAGAAGTCTGGAGTTTAAATGGCCACTGCAAACCGGACTGCTGAAGAAACGAGGCACTCGCTTAGACTCTCCTAGTATTAACTTGGTGAAATGGGTTTGAGGCTCTTGGCACAAAGTTATAGTCCCATTTGAGTGGATGGAATATGGCCTTGGATATATTACAATAAAATCTCCATATACCCCATATTCTATCTACTTAAGGGGGACTGTAAGCCTTTCCATTTTAGTTTGCGTTATCCCCCTATAAACCCAGTATACTATAGTGGTTTCCATTTCATTTTCCATTATCCGCCTATAACCCCAGTATACTATAGCAGTTTCCATTTATGGCAACTTCCAGACCTTACTACGGCATGTACTAGAGCGGGAGATGCAGCAGAGATTTTGCGCGTTTTTGCACACAGCAAACGCCAAAGCCTAGTCTGATAATTGCCGTTTAGGGTTTCGGGCTTTAGGGGGCTCCAGGGTTTTAGGTTTTAGGGATTTAGGGTTTAGGGTTTTAGGGTTTAGGGCTCTGTACTCAATAGCGGAAGCCATTGCCTTGGCACGTTCCTGCAAAACGCCGCCGCAATTTCAGCATGTTTCTGCGAAATTCTACACACGGGGGCCATAATCCTCATGCAGAATGCGCCGCCCTGACCAAAATTATCTTTTCATTGTTCTCATGATTGTTGTAAGGCCGTACTGTGGGGGTGAATGAAACAATATCCTTTCTTAACTATGATCATGGCCACTACAGGGTCCTAATTTTGAGGGTTGGGGTAGCCACAACTCTCTTACTTGTGAGATTCGATAATCTATTAACTGAGAACATTTGATATTAAGGGTATTAGGGGCTTTTTGGTGTTGCATAATAGGAGAGGTCTCATTTCTAACGCGAGAGCCTGAAATCCTTAAACCTTCAATCCTTAAACCCTAGACCCTTAAACCCACGAAGGCGTCAAAGTCTGAGGGCTTGCAAAACAACCTTGAACCCTTAAACCCTAAAGGCTCCTGCCTTGTCTTCACCAACATCCACCGCCGCCTCGGAAAGTAGCGCGGCATTTTTAGAGGGAGTTGTCATTTAGACAAGGAGAACCCAGCTGGGTAGGGGTGTACGGTTTAAGGTTTAGGGCTTCGGACCCTAAAGCCTAAAGCCTAGACCCATGTCAGGCTCATATACGGCTCGTATATAGTAACGGGACTAGATGAAGTTTATATAGGCCGGCTTTACGGGTATCCACCTGATAGTTACAGCTTGGGGAAATGGATAGGGTTCACTGGGTTGCGGTTAAGGAGCTTAATTTAAGTTACTATATTAGGGAAAGCACATTAATTACTACCCATGCCCATTATCGCAACCCATTTTAAGTTCCTTCACGGCAGCCCAGTTTGGGGTTGACGGCGAGCACAGGATGATAGGTAAAGCGGGTAATTATGGGGAATCGGAGTCTGCGGGTTTACAGGGCAGAGTTCTTGGATTTAAGTTGGGGAGTCTAGTTGAGTAGCATCTTATTGTTGGAGTTGGTGGTACTATAGTCCTTCACAAGATTCTATCCTCGCCTTGGGTAGCCTTTTTTCAAAAGCATTCACCTGGCTTAATCACCGAAGCAGTGCTACTAACGCGAAGGTTGTTCTGTCGGAGGACCGGCCTCTTTCGCAGGTTTGGGGTTTTAGCCAATGAGTTCAGACTACCACGAGCTGTGGGTAGGTGGAGGAACAGGAGCGCCTTCAATGCAGCCCACATCCCTCTTAACCCTTAACCCTACTGAAGGCAGGCCCCCAAGCCTGCCTGAAGGAATTCTAAGTGCCGGGGGGTTTAGGGTTTAAGGGTTTAGGTATAGGGCTGTGCGACAAGGAAATGTCACATGCAGAGTTCTCCAAATAGACGTTCCCTAGGCGTATGAGCTATAGTCTACACTCCTTAAAGCGGGTAGTTAGGCACGGGATCATACAGAGGAGTAGTATGGGGCTTAGCAAGGGGAATATTAGGAGTTTAGACTATAACCCCATAACCCCCTATATAATCCCAGTTTCCATTTCATTTTCCATGTTCTCTTCGATTTGATTCTCCACTATTAAGGGGGAAACTAGGAGTTATAGAATAATATAGTAGTTTCCATTT